CCATGAATAAAAATGTCACACGTTTTCCCATCTCACAGCGGTACAAAATGTCAGTCCTGTCAAACAGACATTGCAGGTAGCAGTGAGCAGTCAGTACAAATTGGGAAGCCGAATATTCCCCCAGCTTTCTGATATTCTTCATCTGAAGCAGAAGAAAAACAGTTGTTAACCTATTAGCTGTGATTTTAAACTCAGCTGAGATAGTAGATGGATAGACTTTAACACATGGGGATAAATATATTCCTGGGGTCTGAGATTTTTGCAACGTGTCTCTCTATCCATGTATGTGGAGGAAGAGATAGAATGAAAGCAAGCCACTGCAAAATGGACCTCATTTTGGTAGAAGTCCTTTGGAAGTTTGAATCTCAATGAGATTCTCCCTAAAACCCTTCCCTGGTTAATCTCTGCAAATAGTTCCGAAAAAAAAAACCCTCCTTGCTGTTTTGCCAGTAATACAGAAGGACTCCTTTCATGGCCCTGCCATTATGCAGCACTATAACAGACAACCGTGATTTTATTCTTTTTCCCTAGAATGAAACTTGTGCTGCTTTCAGACTACAGCATTTTAGGCACCGCAGAGGCCATAGGATATGTTATTTTCTGGGTGTTAGATGTGCCTTTGTACCGTGAACATACCTGTGTGTTCACTGAGTTGCCCATCTGGGACTGAGGCGTAGATAATGTCAATGCAGGATTCTGCTGTTACAGCAGGATCCAGGAAAAATCTGATGCAAAAGATTAGGCGCAAAGGAGGTGACAAAATATCAAAGTACCAAAAATAGTACTAAGGCACCAGTGGTTGCCCTAAGGGACAAGGAGAGCAGGTAAAATGGGCGGCCATGGTCTTTGTAAAAGTGAGCATCTCAGAGAAATTTACTTGGAAGTCCATTTCTTTGTGGGTTGGTTGTTGGGGCTTTTTTGGTACCTTCTCAGACCAAAAATATGGCATATGGTGGCATTTAAGCTAGTGAATCTTTGCAAATTACTCCCTTACCCAAATGACCTTATTTGCTGAATCAAATTGCCAAAGGAAGGCTCTGCAAGGAACTCCCAAGTCAAAGCGCTACAGAAACAGAACGGAGCAGTTAGAACCTGGGCTAAACCCAGTCCGGCCTGTGCCCGGCTTACGTGCTCAGCTGCATGCAACAGGAGTGCCAGAGTCATCGAAAGCCTTACTGCTTACAAACAAAAGAGGAAACAAAATGTGTGAGGCTCTTTTGAACCAGAGTGACTGCAGATGGAATTAAATACTTTGTGTCCTGTGGACATTTGTTTTCCCTGGGAACGGACACATATAACTTAGCTTAGAGTGGCTTTCACACTGTGGTCCGCAGGTACCCAGGGTCTGTGCCAGGAAAATAAGAAGCTATTGACAGGGATCTTCTTTGGAAAATGTCAGGAGTCTTCAAACTACAAAGTGTTGAATAATGTCATTTCAATAGTTAGAGGGGTTTTTTTACAGCGTTTTAGATGAACTGAATGCACACATCAACAGGAGGAGGTCAGGGTTTATTTTCAACTGCAGACAGATAAGAAGTGAAACAGAACTAGCTGGTCACAATCTCAGGTCGTACCAATGGGTTTTGCATTACTTGTTTGCACGATATACCAGCTTTCCTGTCAACGGAGCTAGGAAGTAATCAGAAGTCGTGACAGGTCTTTAAACCACAGATAGGATTGCAAGTCAACCACTAGTACATAACGTTCCTCCCATCGACATCGCAGAAGAACACGTGCTGCGTTGGGGCATGGCCTGACTGTGTCTGTCTGCTCAACACTTACTGCATGCGCAGAAAAGTGTATCCGCCTAATTCCCAAAATTCTTCCTTTTTCCTCTAGTACCAGACAAAAGAAATAAAATACCATTCAATTCAACAGCCAAGGAGCTTATTATTTAAGCCCTATGTTTTTAGAATAGCATCAGTTATAAACAATAATAATCCACTGTAGTGTAACCTGTGGTTTGGGGATTTTCTGTCCCTGGCACTCTTCCTTAACAAGCAGATTATAAGACATACCTAAGAGGCCCGTTTGCTTCATCCTGCTGGAACCTTTTAACTTGACAAGATATACATGATGCTGATAACATGGTCCTGCTTTCATTCTTGGTTTTAGGAGAGATCTACATCTGGTTAGTACCTCCTGAATCCTAGATTTAAAGCAAACTGGGGTGTGTTGTACACTATACCGTTGACCAGTTTTAAAAGTTAGCTATTTTGAGATTGTTTGAACTGTATGAAATTACTAGATGGACATTATCAACACTGCAAAGTGAGGATGGGTTATCAGTGCTCTGTATTTCAGTGCACCTTAAGAAGATATTTCTTTTATCCTTAAACAGGAAAGACAGAGTTTGCCCCAGCCAGGAGAGCGAGGAAGCAAAGGCAGACTGTCAGGAAACCCCTTTCTTTCCCCTTAGTAAAGAGTGAATTTCCTCTTGGTGACTTTGGGACAGGACTCAGGCACCTGAAAGAAAGATCCTTGTTCGGTGTTAGGGAAAACAGGAGGTTATGGGCACCTGTGTTTCATTTCCTTCTCTTACTGTCTACCTCTCCGTTACGTAGTGGAAGGCTCCTGGCTAGGAAAGTACGGAAATAGCCCTCGTTTTTCTCATTAAACTAATCAGAGTGTTTAATTGCGGTGGCCTCTGTCCGTTTCATAAATTCTTGGCACAGCTATAGGCATTGCTGCATTTTTGCCGGGTTCATTCTACCTTCCCAATCTACAAATGTGGCTTGAAGAATGAGGCATCCCTTAAAACATGGAGATTATTTTTATCACAGGACCCAGCAGATTTCTGTTGGAGTATTTCCGAGTGTAAATTAAAAATATATGCTGTAAAGCATGCACCGTTCTTGTCATCCCAGTTTGTGAGCTGTACATATGGGAGTATGTAAAAAGTAGTGTGTGCGCTGTGCAGGGATCTGGATGGATAATAAAACAGCTGCCTCATAGATTCCATCTGCTTTCTGTACTGAATCTTTTTAGGTACCATACATTTTTCAGTGTTGTTATCTTCTACTTTTTTTTTTTTGTTTTTTATTGAGTGTTCATTCAAGGTCCAGCATATTCTTCCAAAGTCAGCACTTCAGATCTCTGGCAGCATGATGTGTTTGAACATGGGAATGTTCTGGAAGGTGCGTGTCTCTCCCATGTCTGATTGTCTTCAAAACATACTAGCAGTTTTTAAACCAGTCCTGAATTTCTGATGGAAATAAGACATCCCTGTAGAAACCCTTCGCTTTGGAAATTATTACAAACACCTCTCACTACTAATTGAGCAAGGGAAACGCTTATTTCTGTATGTGCTGACAAACATATTTTCATCTAGTTGTGTTTCCTTTATGCATTTTTTTCTGGTTGCACTTGTTGCTGCACGTGGAATAGCACCTGTAATTTACTCATAAAGGCCCTGGTTTGAATACCTCTTCAAAAAAATCTCAACAGACACGCACAATTAGTTTGAGATAATATTCTGCTTATGAGCTGTTACCTTGCAGACCAGAAATGATCTTTTTGTAATGTTTTCTCTAGTATAAAAAACCTAAATAGCTGTGAAAGTTCCTTGGATGTATAATAGCTGCTTTATGAGATGTGGCATCTGTAATTTAAAAATATTATTTTTACAGTATAAAAGTGTATGTCAGATTTTTCTTCCTCCAGCATCTCATAGCTTAAAATCACTTTTCTGATAATTAGCAAAACAGTGCCAGGTTCTGCAAATTTTCTGTCTTGTTGCTTTGTAAGTATTTAGAAAAGGACAATTAAGAAAATGTCTGGAGTAAAAAGGTATGCTGGTAAACAGCCATTGGTAAGGATGTGCTAATTTAGACATTTCTCCCCTTCACAGAAACTATAGTGTATACATTTAGGAACATACCTACAAGAGCAATTTAGCAGCTTTTAGCAATGTAGCCGGCTGCTGTTTTGTACCCGTTCATCCTTGCAGCACAGGTAATTAAGTTGATATTCCAACACAGCTTCCCCTACTGACCTTTTAGAAACAATGTGTTTTGCTGCATTAACAAATTAACTTCAAATCAGTGGCTTTTCCAGTAAATATGGTCTTCAGATAGTTGGAATATGCTTGCTTATTCCTTTCTGGTGACAGGTATTAACGTCAATATTAAAAGTGACGCCCTGGCCAAGGGCAAATAACTGTTACCTGCTGGTGGACCTCCACGTCAGTTACTCCTCAGCGCTCTTTGCCTCCTCTTCTCCGCGTCACAGCACTGGTTTGAGCCACGCCATTCCCCTGGCCCTGTGTAAGGGAGAAAGCGCACTGCTGTGAATAGGTAGTTTTGTCTTGCCGCTCTATTCAGACCTCTTTAGGGTTCAGAAATGTGTGTGGTGCAATACATACAAGATCTCAAAATGAACTTTATTGCTGGTAGCTCCTCGGTGGGTGAGATAAAGTTGAATCTGAGTGTTGGATTGGCTGAGGTGTTACAAGTATTGAAGTCACAATTCTGAGAGTTAACACAAGGCCTACTTAAAACTCCAGCTGGAAGGGGTACCAACGTTTGGTGACTCTTTTAACACAAAATATAGTTCAGATACCCCCAAATATTTAAAATTTTATTTTTATTGTCATTACCTAATCAAACAGTGATGTGGCAGATAATTAGCAAATCCCATCACACGTTTTCTCAGAAAAATACGATTCCTTGAGCGAGTACCTGGGTGGGTAAGTACGGTTCAGTTGTACATGTTCTGTACATGTTCGGTTGTACGTGTCCTCGCGGGGACTGTAATCAATGCATTGACCGTCTCGCTGAGCAGCAATCCTCAGCCAGCGTGCTGCCTGCCTGGCTGGCTCTCTGAAGGGCCTGCCTTTTGTCACACATTTTGCAGCAGCTTTAATAATAATGCCGTGGGTTCAACAGCCGGTACTGTTGATGCTGCAGGCTTGCAGTGACGACCCACTGGTGCTGCTTTTGCCACAGAATCAGAGGTGTTTGCATGCAGGCGACTTTAATTTAGTTTCCGCTTTGATACAGCAGCAAAGACTCCGCCCGCCCCGGCCACCGCCTCCAAAGATACAGCGTTCATCTAGGCCCGTGAGTAGCTGGTAGTTTTGTTTCACTGCCACAGCTTAACACTGCCTGAGTTACGCTCTTAGTAGCATTAACTAAACCTTGGTAGTTTGGATTGTCAAACTTTGCAAAAAAGCAATGTGTGAATTATGCACCTAAACTCCCTTCTTCTCTGCTGCGGCACAGCCCTGGACCTGCATTTATTCTGCTTTTCTTTGACGAGTTCTGCAGCTTTCGGTCAGGTCTGCAGGTAACTGATGCTGCTGTTGCAATGTTTGTTTTTACTTTTGCGGTGATTTCTTACACAAAAGGTCTTGCTAAGCTGGCATAAGTTTTTAGCCCGTGAGCTTTTGAAGACTTGCACTAAACTCAAATCTGAAAGGAAGCAGAAGTCTGAAGAGAAAGTATTTATTCTTTGGAAATTATGCTTCAGATTAATTTGGGATGCTTATTTTTTCTCCATGGAATAGATAAAAAAAACAAAGTCTCTATTTGGGCAGTAGAACATTAGTAGCACATTATGGATGATAGACACATATACTTTATGTTCATGTAAAATGCAAGCTGGGACTGTGTAATTACACAGTATAAAAAAAGATGTAGGCACAGTGTGTTGGCCAGAGGAAGCAACTCTTCCACAAAGAACTATGCAGAAGTTACTCTCAGTGCAATAAATGTACTGTACTAGGCAGGGATACCCGATCTCAGGATTTTTTAATTCAGAACACCAACGGTAGGACAGTTGTTAAATATTAACTGTGCCAGCTGGAGACTGTGCTAGATCTGCACCAGTGACTTTTTTTTAGTAGCCCAGGAAAGTGGTATCAGTTTAGAAGGGGTATTGTTTTTTGCAACAGTCTCGGAAAGTATTTAGGAATTTGTACTTCGAATAAAATTCCTCCCAAAGGCAAATACATCTTACTCCTTGCTTCCTTATACATACACGTACATGCATAAGAAAGAGAGAGATGCAAGTTTTCAAATCTAACCTTGCTAAAACTTGTTAAAAATATGTTTCAGATGAGCAGGCAGCTGGTTAACAAGTGCACTTGGGGGTGTGTTAACTTTTGATGTCTGGTGCATGTTCCTGTGTTACGTTTCAATAGCATGTGTTTCTTCTCCTCCTCCTCTTTAACTCTGGGTGTTTAGCTTAACAGAGTCACTTGTATGGATTGCTGCTGTGCAGATTCCTGCGTTCTGTGTTTAAAAGGTAGCGTCGACTACACTTGCGCGTGTTCTCTTGAGCGTGATTGATACAGGAGACCCTCCCAGATGCCCGACACCGGGAACAAACTTCCCAGGGTGCTGTGGGGTTCCCGGAGTGCTTCGGAGCACCCGGGCTTGTGTTTGGCACGTGCGGGAGGGCACGTTGCGACTCCTCTGTAGAAAAGTTGCTGAACAGTGGTGTTCAGATCGAGTAATTTGTTACAGCAGAGTCTTGCTAAGGCTGTTTAATCTCCCAGCTGTAGTGCATTAATAGTCCTCACTATAATGTGTTTGCGTCAACTGTCTTTGCTCCCAACGTGATTGATAAAAGGTTGGAAATGCAATAATAAAAGCTCCCGTTGCATTCATCTAGCTGTGTCAGTAAGTGGAACAGAAATGCTTCATTCATCAGGAGGAAATTCAAGATAAATGTAAATTATTATAATCACTCCCCAAAATACGCTTGTATCAAATATACATAAATTTGTTGTTGTTCAGAACTGTTATTTGGCTTTTAATAGTTGAAATACATTTTTGTGTGTGTAAATAATACTTTGCGCAGGCTCTTTTTTCCCCTCTCTTAGTTTTGGCATGTGTCACCGAGGTGGGTATGGACAAGCAATTTTTCCTAGTCTTTACCACAAGCACTGGAAGAGGAGAGCAGGTGCCTCTGCTCTTCCAACCAAGTCCACGTAATACCAGAATTCCTGAGAAATACTTACTGTTTTCAGGATATATCTGTTATGAGGAGGAATCCATGGGCACTAGTCCTTGCAACATGAGTCATTGCTGATAATAAAAACAAAAACACAGACCAAAGGAGCAGAACGGATAGCGTCCTTCACATTCTGCTGTTTTGGAAATGAGTGGTGGTGCTGCTATGAAAGAGAGAGGGATTTTGCTTATAATTAACAGACATCTCTCTGGTTTAATAGTGGCTGTCTGGAAAGTTAATTTGGTTGGAAAAAGTTAAAATATAATAATTAGGCATAAAGTTGGTGGGGACATAAGCACATTTTAACCCTTCTGTGCTGATGTTTACCTTTATTCTTTTGGCTGTGCACTCATGCAGTTGGATTTCTTTCATACTTTCCATTTGATAAGCATTTAAGCAGCTACATAAGGCTCAAAATCCTGCAAGGAATTGGCTGGATTCCTGGCTTTTCCCCGCAGTCCCCCTCGAACAATGCTCTGAATCTCCTTAGCATGTCACCCTGCACTTCACTGGTCTGGTGACCCCTGGAGCCATCCAAAACTCTCATCTCTCTCCCTCATCACCATCACGCCCCCAGGGTACCACCCAAAAGGTGAAAGTGTTCCCAGCATGATGACAAGCCAGCTTTGCACATCATCTTCCAGCTCGGATTTAATTAAACAAGTTTCTTTCTTCCTCTCTTTTTCTCTTTCTCCTTCTCGCGCTCTTCTCCCCCCAGTTCCTCTTGCTTCTCCCCCCGCTCCCTTGCGCGTACTCGCGCTCTCCTGGTCTCTCTCTCTCTGTTTTATCAACCCTAATGAAGCAGTATTCTTCATCGATCCTGCTGATTGCCAGCCCATTCCTTTTGTTTGTTGGCACCGAGCCATTCAGCCGCACTCTGACAGCTCAGCTCGTCTAATTAGCTCTGTTGTTCTTTTCCCCATGTTTCACCACGTTGCAAGTTCAGTTGAAGTTGCCACAAACTTAATCCTTCTATTCCTGCCATAAATTCACATTCTTAAGCTGTCTTTATTGTAGAGAGGAGCAGCCTTGTGTGGAGACTGATCTTCAAGACCTTAACATCTGACCTTTTTATAAGCCCCTTTTCCTAAGAAATTGTGGCAATACATCTCTGGATTTCTTCATCATATCTGCCATACACTGTTTCCTTTGAAATGAAAATTCAGTACAGTAATCCTGCTACTATCCTCTGCATACTGTTATATAGTGTGAAAACACTACGCACAATTCAATGGCCTTTTCCTGGTGAGAAAATTTGAGGTTTATGTGTCTGGGGTAATAAAAAAGAAAAAAAAATTTAAACAAAAAACCCAAAAGCCCAGAAACACTCCCTCCCACAACGAATAATAAATTAAAAGCGAAACACAATAAACAAGAACTTGCAGGAGGAAGAAGTCTACGTCTGTTCTATCCCTGCAAATAAATTCATTCGTTGCCCAGCGAGCGCTCAGGCTGGCCTTAACAGCTTCCTTTACATTGTGTATTCCTAACTTTATTTGCGGGTTTGGGGTTTTCTGTTGGAACTAGCAGTCAGTTAAGCCAACAAATCAGAACCTGTTTCAGGCGAGGCAGCGCTTTCTTAACAAAACTGGCAAGTTTGTTCATACAGCCTGGCCCTTGTGCTGCAGATGGTCACTGCCACACTTGGCTCAAAGGGACAGGTTCCCCAGCAGGATTTCGCACCAGCGTAGGTAGGCACGTGCAAAAACTATATAGTGATCACAAGCGCTTAATGCTTTCCCTGAAGTAAAACTTGTTTGCTTGTGAAGTTAATGTAGGTACATTCAGCTTGATTTCTGAAGATCGGAGGGTGATGCGTTATTTAGGATTGGATTGGCAGCAACATCATCTTCATCTTAGAGACAATAAAAGATGAACTCATGTAACATTGGGGGTGATAATGATAATATGTCTGGCATGGGTTTCTGTTCAGCTGCTATAAGGAAGCAAATTTTTAGTGAAGAATGAGCTATGTCTTCCATGTTATAACTTTTATTCTAAGTACAAGTTTTTCAGTGCTCCCCTACACAGAAGTCTTCACTTGAGAAGTTGGGTTCCCGTGGACAAGAGGACAAAAGGACCATGATTTCAGAGCTGAACTCCACTTGCCAATACGATGTGCAACACCACACGGGATTTTCCAGTTCTATTCTGTCAACTCACTGGACAAGGGGAGGCTCACTTTTAGGGAATCTGTTATCAGAAATTTAGCCTGTACCAAGCAGGGCAGAGGAACAAATTGCTATTGCTTTGCTCATAGCTACAGTCAGAGACAAGCATGTTTCATTTGCTGTTCAAGAAACTGGGGTTTTTGTGTCCTTAAACAAGTTGTAGATCCTTGTAGTTCATATTTGTGCTTTGTATTAGTTTGTATACTTATATTCATTACTAATATTCTTGTGGCACAGAAAATAGATGTTTAAAAGCAATTCTGAATGGAAGATACCTTTAAGATAACAGTGGTTATGCATGTTTTGTTATTTTTGTTATGTCTGTTGTCTGATCAGCTTGAGGTATTTGATTAAATGTCTGCTGTGTGTGTGTATGTAATAGGTTCGCCCGCCAAGACCTCATGTTGTTAAGAGGCCCAAGAGCAACATCGCTGTGGAAGGGCGAAGGACTTCAGTTTCCAGCCCAGAACAGTAAGTACTCTGCTGCTCTGCTTCTCTCTACTTGCACCCACAAACAGCGCGTTCGGAACTGGAACTAGCCAAAGGAGAACTTAAAGAATACTACAGATCAAAGCTTTCAAATAACAAAATGTTTGGGTTTTGTATTTTGAAACATTTCAGAGGAAGTGTGAGAAAGCAAGAAACCAAAGCTAACGTATTGGAAAATTCTGCTTTGCCAAGTTACACATAATCTGATCAGCCCATTTACTGGAAATTTTCAGGTTTTGGAGTTTCTTCATTTCTTTCTTGTGATTTGAACTGTGTTCTAAGTGAAGCTGTTAGCCACATCCCTGCAAATCCACCGTTCTTGCCAGGCTTTACCTGGAAGATACAGAACTGCTTGTTTTACAGTGATGGCAGGAAGGGTTGTGTCTCACACTTTAACGTTAGAGTCCCATTAACGGCAGGTCTGTAATGAGCTCTGTAGATTGGGCTATGCAGTAATTAGGGGTTATTCCAAATAAGTCCTACTGCTGTGGCTGCTGCTCACGTGCGCAACGTGTTGGTTTCTAACATCTCTCGTTCATATGAACGGTGTGTTCTGTTACCTCGGAGAGGTTTTTTCAGATAGTTTCATGAATGTCACAAATTCCTTTTGAATGGCGATACTGTGTATTTTTGCAGCTAGTCTTAATGCATTGCCGCAGTTAACCATAGGCCATCAAGGGAAAACCTAAGAAGAGAGTGGACATATTGAACCTTGCCAGCATCGCCCAAGAGCCCCTGGGTGCACGTGGAGGCTGCATCAGAAGTGCGTGGCTTACTTTTTCCCAGCTGCTCTGAGATGGGGAGATACTCTGGCTTTTAGCTAAACTGAATGGTCACTTTTAAATTCTACAGGATTATTTATCCCTTTCGTAGTGGAATTTGGTTGCCCTCTTGTGGAGTAGATTGCGGATCCTGCAGAAGGGCTCGTGCTGTTACAGGGTGGGAGCTGTTCCTGCACAAAGATTATGGAAATTTTCAAAATAGAAGTTTTTTCTTGATGTTTAGTATGATGATTCACTGCATGTAGGGGAAGGGTAATTGAGTCGCTGTAACGATTAAGTGTGTTTCATAGGAAGGATTACGCATGTTTGCATTCCAAAGCTGCTTGGCGTTCCGGTGCGACTTACCGCTAACATGTATTTTTGGATCCTGCCAGAATCAGAACAGAAATAAATGTAAACATGAATGATAAACATCATCGATGTATAGTAATACATTGAGTTGCAGTTATTATTTTACTTGATTTGAATTTATTGCTGTTAATTTTAATGGGTGTTTACAATTCAGCTGCTTTGACAGGATAAACTACAAAATTTTTTTTATGCAAACAGTTGACAATAACCTACAAAAGATAATCAGGATGTTTGCAGCTATAAACTGACTTATTTTTCTTCATGAGCATTTTACTGACAGATTTTTCCATCTTTTAAATGTGGCAGAAAACCAGGTAATGTTGCTAATACCACTGACACTTGCTATATGGTATCAGTTATGGTCTCTTCCTGATGTTGCACAGCTTCAGTGCTTTACCAGGTCAAATGCAGTGTCATGGCAGGATCTGATTATTTTCACTCTTGCCTGTCATCAGCTTCAGGTGACAAAACAAACGTTGGTGTAACTGCTTCCAGACAGTTACTTGCAGAATATGGCACTCAGCTAGATCTCCTGTAAAGTGTTTGCCCAGAGTGTTTTAAGAAAGACTAGTTGGGGCCATGGAGGAGAGGGGACACATGGCACACAACGATGATGAGACCGATGCTACGGATGATTTTGGAAGTACCAGTGGAGGAAATATCTGCCCTTGTACTTAAATAGAGCACAAATAGATGGCTTACCTAAGAAAGAACTTCAGGTGAATGCCTTTGAAATAGGCAATGAGTCGGTAATCCTGACCTTTTTCTTTACTGTTATCTCACAATGACATTCTGAATAAATTGGGTTTTAAATACTAGTTCAAGATAGATTTTTTTCTTTTTGTGACAATTTTCACAAACATTCTTTTTTCTATCTCAGTAAGAAATAATCTTCCTATATTAATCCAAAATGAAAACGTAAAGCCAAGTGTTGTCTCTTTTTTAAAAAATGACATTGTTTTCTCTCTCTTGGAGAGAAAACACCACTATATATATTTTCACTTGTGTTGCTCGGTAGTGTTGGAGTGCCGTTACTGCAGATCAGAGGAGAGGCCGGGAGAGCAGCAGCAGTGCTGAGGGGGTGCTTTGCTTAGACTAAACGTTACCAAAATATTTCGCTTAATTACACTGGTTCCAAAACTTAATGATTAGCCAGTTACTTCTTTTCAGGTGCTCCTGTGTGGGATGTGTTTGTGAGGAAGAGCTTCTGTTCAGGGAAAATTTTCTTCCTGTACTTAAAACTCACACTAAGTTTTTGGTCTTGAATGAAGGCTTTGGAGACACTTTGCAGCATGTCTGTCCCCACTGGTGGGGGCAGGACCCTCAGGGAAATTTGTATCTTCAGTTACATTAAATGGGATTTTTTAATGTGTATAAAAGAAAAACATTGTCTTTTCTAATCAGCCTTCAGTTAAAACACAGGAGGGTGGGAGTAATGACTTCAAAGAACACCCAAGATTATTGCTGGTGTCTGTTGTTAAACCATCGTATTTGGACGAGCTAGTGGAAGAACTGTTGTTTCCCCCATCCAAATTTTCAGTGATTTATTTTTCTGTTTTAATAGAAAGTTTATTGTTTTACAATTCTATCAATAATTCAGGGTTTGTGATGTTTATGATTCTTAAAAGTTTTTCTTTAAATCTAAAATGTATAATTTTTTTAAAAACTGTCTTACTTATAAGGTAACGGGAAGAATTCGTAGATGAGAGCTCAGAAAACGCTGGATTACCACCTGGGGCAAGTCTAGACACATGGGACATACCTCTTTAAACACAAATCAGTTGTTCACAGAAATAAGATGTTGCATTTTTAACAGATAGGCAGGTTTTTGAGAGCTCTCTTTTACACCACAGCAAGATTTCCTATTAAATGTAGAACAGGCTTCCTGAGTGCTCTAGGATCTGTCTTCTCTAAGTACCGACTTGCTGGCTTCCAGGGCCTGCAGAGTGGGAGGAAATTAAAATAGGAAATCAGAGGGTCAGGCTCACAATTAACAGCATGTCAAAAGGCTCTTGGGCTGGCTAAAGCCGTGTCGGTGCGGCAGCAGTTCATTACGGCTTTCCAGAAGTCGGGTGGGACTCAGTAGAGAAGCTAATGGCTTTCCTTGTACCCTGTGAATGAAAATAGGCTGCCGTGCAATAGCGGCTCACTACGCTGAATTTCGTACGAAGCCAGCGCGACGGCTGTGTTGAGTGGTACAGGCTCACGCAGCCCAGGAAATTCCAGTTTGATAACCAGGCTCTCAGAGCTCCGCCACACGGAACTTGTGTGCGGGAAAGGCTTTCCGTGCCTTCCCTGCGAGCAAGGAGCTCTGCTCAGGAGGAAAGCTAAGCCAGCGAGTGCCTGTAGAACCAGGATGGCTGCAAAAAGAAAGAAAAAAGCACAGGCTATAGCAACAGGACTTGCTGCCAGTGCTTGGGAAAATGGGTGTAGGGGAGGCTAGATACGACGAAGGCGGCGGCACCAAGAGTGTAGGTGCCCGGCAGAGGGACAGCGAACGGCAGGGAAACGTGCGGAGAGCAGCCAGGTTTGTTGGGAACCCCCGTCCTTTCCAGCTCTCTCACCTTTCCTCTATGGCGGTTTAAAAGAAACTTTAATTCTGGGGCCTTATCTGCTTTGGAGTGAACCTACCGAACGTAGGCAGCTTGCCTTTGTCGAGTGTGGTGTCGGGGAAAACTGCTGAATAGATCCTCGGTGCTGAGCACTAGGACAAAAACGTGAAACGGCTTTAGAGAGTCTTGCACCTACATCTGTCAGAGCAGGCGGAGGTGTCGCCCACCTTGTTCCCACTTTAAACTATTTGCTAATATTTCAGCTCTCTCGGAAATTTGCAGGAAGTTCACAAAACCTGCAGAACAATTAGTGACCTGCCTTTACTGGGTGTAGTGATCACAAAGGGTTGCCTTTGTTATCTCTTTGGATGGATCATGATACTAATTTTTTGGTCACTTTAATTTAGAATATCCTTTATGCTAATATTTCTGGAGTTCTTTGAAATATTCTGCCCCCATGAACATTCACAGTACGTGAAGCGACACTTTAAAAATCAAATAGATATCTTAATATTTCTGTGAGCTCACACTTGAGTGTGCTGAGTATTCGGAATATGCAGGGAGGAATTCCAGCGATGGGTCTGTGCTTTGTTCGGATTGAACAGTTACGAGGTAATTCCCCTCAGTCCCAAGTCTCCTGTGTCACACTGGCAAGGAAAAGCCCATGCATCCAAATCCCTTGTTCTCTTCATTTTACCGTCTAAGAGGGACAAATTCCTTAATTCCCTAGAGCTGCTGTATAGCTTAAAAAAAAATATTAATTTAAAAAAAAAAATCCCCCCTGAAATTCCAGAGGCCCCTTTTAGGAGAAAAATGACAAGTCTGTGCTACCCCTTTGTACCTAGTCTCTATCACGCAATTAATAAAATACACAAATTTAATTTTTTCGAGACCAAAATATCTCTTAAAATTATTACAGAATTTTCCTTATTAATTCCCATACCCTGTACTCACATTTTCTGTATATATTTTTTTCTATCTCAAGTACATTTAGGTGTCAATTAAATTTGAAATATCTACATTTGTCAGCATTTCATTTTTGGCCAGTGTGATGTGCTGCTGATTTGTCCATGCATCCTGACACATGAAAAAAGCTCCCGAGATGCAGATCTTCCTCATTAAAAAAGAAACCCCTACTATCATAATGGTGCGCGGAGCCACGGAGCGCATCCCCGGCTTTATTGCGCTGTGTTTCTGACATGATATTTAAAAAGGAACAGCCACGGCTGTCAGTACTGTCATATGCTGGTGCTAACCGAAGACATGTTAAACTAAACATTAGAAAGAGATCAGCAAGTCATCTGCATGGTAACTCAGCTAAGAGATTAGGTAGGCAGGAGCTGGTGCAGTCATGTGGAGATGATGAGGGTTGTAGCTGTGACAGACACATCCTTTTTTCCCTCGCCGGCTGCGGCGGGGGCTGCCCTGACTGCCGCATCCTTTTTTCCCTCGCCGGCTGCGGCGGTGCCTGCCTCGGAGCCGGGCGTGCTGTGACCTGCCTTTGCAGAGACAGCTCTTTGTGTGCGGAGCCTCGCGAGTGGCGGGTGGCGGCTGCGGGAGAGTTCCCCACTTGGGTTAATGAGGGAACGGGCACTTTGGGGGGATTCTGCCGCCTCGAGCTGATAAAAAATTTAAACTTGGACAATTTTAGATGGCGCATCCGTCTCGAACCGAAATCTCTCACGGAGCGTGCCAACGGGGAAACTTAAGTGCTGGCTTTATTCTAATTACGAGATCCCACTTTCGTTTAAGAAGTCTGGCAACAGCAACAAAGCCAGCACATATTGACTTGCTGCATATTCAGTCTTATTTGAGCTGAGCTGCACTGAAGGGCGATCGGCGACCTAGCCAACACGATCCTATTTTATTTCCTAATAGTTTGCTCTGGGTTTATTTAATCCACGCGCACAGACTCAGTGCGTTTCCATTCAGTGTAGTCTGAAGGCAAACAAAAGGCATCAGAGGCAGAGCTTCAGGGGCTCCTGCACCAACACATTCGTTACGTGCAGTTACCAAACATTTAGTGGATCGGCAAGATGTGTGGAGATCCACTACTGCTCTTCATCGCTGGTAGTAATTTTAGATTTTCTAGAATGATGTCAAATGGCAATTTAGTCTCCTGAGGCAAAAAACCCCATGTATATAAGTTCAAAAAATAAATGTTTTAAAGGTTTAAGTGCTGCCTTTTGTTAATGTAAACTAAAAATTTTGGGTGATAGTAACTTTCTTTGAGAAAAAAATAGTTTAAAATAAAGTTATGGCAAATTTTTCCTAATGCAATGGCACCACCTCACTTTCCCTGGTTGCTTCTTATAGCAGGAGAGAGGAAAAGAACAGCTATGTAACAGCTTTAATTGGAGTACCACCGACTATGATTTAACGCTATCAGCTGCATCCACTGCCACCGCTATTTTAGACTTTTTATTAATTGGCTCTGACCTGATTGTGAATAAACACGATTCTCAGTGGCAGCTCGGGCCCTCTTGAGCTGGCGGTTGCAGTGTCTGACTTTGCTTTGTCTGACCTGACCTTTTAGACTGATTTTCATAACTTTTTTATATAATTGTTTAGAGATTGAGGCAAAAGAACTAAGAGAGTGAAGGCTGATCACGAATTCAAGTGCCACCAGAGGCAGCTTGTTAGTTGTCTGCACTATGAAGGCAACAAATCAAATTCTTCCTCTTTCTAGCCATGCTTTTGGTCCTGTTCTGATTTCAGTGGAACCTCGTCTTACCATAGTGGTGTGACACAGCTGCATCATCACTCTGCGATGTCTGCAGGATGGGGACGCGTGCTTTGTTCCACATGATGAGCCTGATTCTGCTCACGCAAAAATGACAAATCATACTCTGGACCTCAGTAGTAGCAAAATCAGGTTCCCCGTCTCAGTTGTGTGTTGCTTTGTGTCACTCACGGCAAATATTTTGATTCACTACAATAACTAGGATATTATCAGTGATATGTGGTTGGTAAAATAAAGATGCTTGGGAAGAGCCCTCATTCAGACAGCCGGAAACAGTGTTTGCTTTTCCGATCCCAGTGATTGCTTTTCCGTTGTTCTAGTGATGGGAGGAATTAAGAAGAGAGCTGTAAGTGATGCTCTCCAGCAACATCCATCGGTGCTCATCAGCCTGTCGTTTGGTCTATAAGATGTATGAAGGGGGTTTATAATGCTGTGAAAAGACGTTTTCTTGATGTTTTTTTCCATTTCCGCTTACACATACTTGGATATGTCAGAACACAACTGAAATGGGGAGAATAAATAAGAACCAATAAATAACTACTACAAATTGAGTATGAGTTGTGTTGTAGGTGCATATACTTTTAGTGGTTCTACACGATGTTGTCCTTGAGTTTTTTGTGTTCTTTTAAATTACAGCTAAAGTGTGTTTCCAGAGACACTTCTGATTTTAAGAAATTTTCATCTGAAAGGATTTTTGTCCAGGATGTAGCTAACAAATTCATAGGTTGATAGTTACTGTCCTGTGGTGCAGGAGAAGTTAGTGTGAGTCTCTTTCTTGCCAGACTTTGAAAGCAGTTGGCCATCAAGGAAACATACACACCTACCTGACAATCTGCATTTCATATAAATCCTTGGACGGTTTTGGTTTTATCCTAGTGGGAAGCAATTTCAGTTCTCAACAATAGGTACAAGTAGGAAGTGGTACCCTCAAGTCGGTTCCTCTCACGTATCAGACTAATGTCAAAGTATCTATAAAGCAGAGATCTAGTATTTGTTTGCTTGTAGTCAGAGCTCAGAGATTCTGAGGAGCAAAACTGTACTTCTAAAGGACAAAAAATACTCAGCTCTCCAGAAAATGTAGGAGGGTTTCTGTATTGGCTCCTTTTTCAGTGTGGGTGTGATTTCAGGTCTTGGTGCCCTTCCT